GGGTGAAGGGAGGATGTGGGGTCAGAGATGAAAGTAGAGTGAAAACGGAGCACTTGGAAAATAGAGGCAGAATGAATGAAGACGAAGTGAGATCGAGTAGCCTGAGAGGAAACAGCTTGGAGGGGGGCACTGGTGGTGGGCTGTGGTGCGGGGGGAGTGACTTAGAGAAGCCGTCGTTCACCTTCATTTAATTCATGCTGTCGTCCTATCCTTCTGCCGTCTACTGCAATGTGTGAGCGTGTGTGAGGAATGAGGTTGAGTGGGCGGGGCCGGGTGTGTAAAATGACTTTGTCCTTGAACAAGTGAGTTTATGTGATTTTCATACAGTATGTTTAGATGTGCATGTAGTTGGCGACACATGTTTGCGTCCATTAGTGCCCGCCGGTGTTGAAGGCGGCACGTCTGACGCAGCTGAGGATGGGAGCGGCTCCTTTTGTGGCAGTCGAAAAGCACATTTGTCAAAAGTAGCTGCACACGAGGTCTTTTAATTGACCGGCAATACCGCTCCAGTCTGGGGCAGCCGGCTATTTTCTTCCTCCTGACCTTTTAGAAATCTGGGCATTTTTTGCTTGTCTTTTTCCTGCATTATGTTGACAGGTTTAATATGAGGTTGCTGTCTGGACTTTATTCTGCCATTTACATCAAATAAATGAAAAAATGTCACTTTTTTTTCCCTCTAAAACTAATGGAATGAATCTGGATTTAATAATTTAGTCTGCAATGCCCCACTGTTAGATATACTGCTTTTATTTTCCTTATCTCTCCTCCTCCTCCTTCCTTCTTCAGTTATGTGTTGTGCTTATCTCTCTCCCTCTCTCCCCCCACAGGTGTGGGAGATGCTGTTGAGCTCCAAGGCTCCCATGGTTAATGTGTTCATGGCCGTGCCAACTATTTACTCTAAGCTGATCCAGTACTATGATCAGCACTTCACACAGCTTCATGTGAAGGACTTTGTCAAAGCATTCTGCAAAGAGAGAATAAGGTACTGGTTGTGGAATCTGTGCCACAAGATTTTACTCACAAGTAGCTGTATTTGTGAATACTTCCATGTATGTATGAGTACATATTGATTGGTGGCAAAATGGTTAAGAACAGAGCAACTATAATGTAGCACTGAATGGTTTAATGCAGGGTTTTTATGCAGTGTTTCCTAAATGTCCTTTTCACAGGGATGTATAGAGCTTAATGAAAGTTAATATTAATGCATTTTGTCATCAGTTGGGAGATTATCATCTTTTTTAATCACCCAATAGTTGGATGCTTTAGGCAATTTAAAGAGGAAATTTAATGTTGCTATGGAGTTCGTTTATTTTGGGCTCTTCATCATTCCTGTTAGTATTTATGTATGTGCAGACAGCCGTGTCCAGATGACTTTGATGGAGAGTATTTTTGGTGAAACTCCTTCAACTTGAAGCCTTGACTTTACCTGACAGAGCAGGAAATGACAGCACAAACGTTTGAGTTTGGCTGTAAGCCAGTCTCTGGGCTCCAAACATCTGTATGTTAGTAGCTCAGCTAACTGACAGATGCGTTAGTGATTAGCAATTGGGCCCATTGACCATCACCCTATCCTGGCAGTGTTTTCGGTTCACATTCAAAGAAGACAAAAAAGCAAAATTGGAAAATAAAGTTCATTTGTGAGACAAATTGAAGTTTTTCAGTGCTTCAACTACCTCAGCAAGTTCTGTGTAACAATGACTGATGCAGCTGCAGCTGTTGACCGCGGAGGTGTCTAAACCTGATCTATGCATCAAACCACAGTTAACAATTTCAGCTGCTTTTGGAGCAACGACATGTACCTGTCCAACTCACCTCTCTTGCCATCTTTGCTCCTTTTACCGAGCTGAAAACCACATGAAGGTGTGGTTGACGTGCGTGTCAGACTGCGCTCCTCCCCAGAAGTGTTGAAGTGTTCAAACCTGAAGCAAAGTCAGTCCCAAGAAGCATTAAGCCTGTTTTTAAAAGTTTATTTTGGCCCTGAGACACTTGTAGTTCTTTTCATTTGTAATTTGTTTGTCACCTTTCTGTGTGTATGCACTCGTGACATGCATTATTATTACATTATTATGTTTTCTTGCTACTTGATAATCTTTTGACCTTTGTGGATGGTGTATTAATGTCACACCACATTTCCAGTACATGTTTTGCTTCTTAATAATTTTCACTGCCACAGTTTCTTTTACAAGTGTGTGTGGCATCTGTGTTTTTATTTTGCTTCCTTTGTGCTGCCAATCATCTCTCCCATGCTGCATTCTGTATATTTTTCATAAACAGTCTGCAGTTTCTAGAATACTGTAAGGCACAACCTTATGCTTACTGACTCTCACAAATCAGGTCCTTGGAGATGTGTAAGAAGATGCACAAAAATTGATGTTTCTAATTAGCAAACAATTAGATCATTTACATGTTTCACACAGGTTTTTCAGGCAAAATATAAACTGCAGATGTGTTTTTTGGCGTGTGTCCCTCACTCCCGTCCCTTTCTCTCCAGGCTGATGGTTTCAGGCTCGGCTGCTCTCCCGCTTCCCACTCTGCAGCGCTGGGAGGAGATTACCGGGCACACACTCCTCGAACGCTACGGCATGACTGAGATCGGCATGGCGCTGTCCAACCCTCTCAAGGGCCCACGCGTCCCAGGTTGAACTAAGTGGATGCACTTGTACTCTCACACCTTACACACATATGAGTAAAGAAAGAATATTTTTTTTACATGTGTATGTGTATTACTTATCTTAAAAAGGGAAGTCATGGGATCATTAGTTAACTTTCCGGCAAAGTATTTCACAAACAAGTCAGCAACTCGCTGCACGTTGCTTAACTTTGCACCACTATCTTCTTATCTGCCACGTGTCACTGTTGCAGAGTCCTGTAAACAATGGTTGGAGCCACTCAGCTAGATAAACTTGCATTACACAATTTTAGCTTCATCCAAAAATCTGTATTCTCAATTATCTTCTAAAAACCTGTCTAGAATGTCAAAGTCAGTACCGGATACATGTATAGTTTGGGCGCCAGCTGCGTATTTTATTTTTTTTCCAAACTCCTTTATCCCTTTGCATAATGATAAAGTTGTGAAACCTCAGGTGTCAAAATACTAACTTGATAATAAAATGCATGTCTTGGTGCTCTTCTAAGCAGAATATGGTCAGGTTACAAACCAGCTGCTGAAGCAATGGCAGGAAATGAGGCCATACAGATAACCTCTTAAAGATCGGTTTGGCATCTGATTATCAGCATTTTTCTTGAAAACCCTTAATGACAAACCAATGGCAGCGTTTTCTGCTCTCTTTTTAAATCAGGCCAACCCTCGATCAGTTTGTCATTTGGTGCATTTATCTTTTGGTACCAAATACTGAGATACTGCACAGCACAACTAGCCAAGCATACTGCCATCAGTGTGTCTGTCAGTCACAGTTTCATTGATGATGAATATTTGATTGGTTGGCAGTCAACCAAGGTTGCCTTTGTGACTGTGGATGTTGTTCTCTTCTAAAACGAATGTCTCAGATTTGTAGGAAAGAGGGTAATTATCTTTTTTTCCCTGTGTGTAGTAATTAAGCTCTACATTGAGTTGACATTGCTGTTTACAATTTGGTAACGTATGATTATCAATCAACAAACTTGCAATCACTGATTTCTGCCACTCTATGTTAAAAGTATACACATATATATTAGAAATCTGTATCCTGGAAACATAGAAAGGCAGTGTGGTTTAACAGAACGACATAAAATAATAATAATTTAAAAAGCAAACCTTGCTTAATTGAGCCAGTGTTCCCGGTTTATACTACACTTTGAAAATGCTCTCAAAAATTTTGTTCTACTTCACATATAATCCAAAAACCTCTGATGTTGCTCGACCCTCCCTCATCAGTTTGAGTGAGTACTTCAACTTCACGCGTTGTGCTTTAATCAAAGGTAGTTGTCTCTGGCGTGATGTCAGGTAAAACCCCATGATCCCAACTACACCTCCCTCACACACGCAAAAACAAAAGCAAGGTCTGGAAATGAGGTCAGAGTAGTGGCGGTTGCCATCTTCTCCTGTCATCCCCTCTTCCTCTCTCTCTCTTTCCCTCTCTTTCTCTTCCACCGTCTTCTTCCTTTCCTGTTCCCCAGACAACACTTCCTCTTACAGGTAGCGCTAATTAGCTTGCAAGTGGATTTGGTAATCCTCTGCCTGCCTGTTTTGTCAGGGTATTGTTTTGTTTGTTGCTCACTGAATGTTTGGCATGAACCGAGCAGGCTGCGTTCGACTCCTCTCAGGTGATTATTAAGAATGGCTTCAAGAGGTCTGCGTTTTTATTGATGTTTCCTCTCAGCATTTGTGTAAGTGTATGTGTATGTCTGCCTGTGTGTGTGTGTGTGTATGACGGTGTGAGCACATGTAGGCACGAGGCTGCGCCTGTTTGAGTCGGCGTGTTCCTATCTTGCCTTTTAAGTAGGTTAAAATGGATCAATAGCAACCACAGGAAACACTCTCAGAAGAGCAGTGGAGTGGTATCTCTCTTTCACTCTCACCTTCTTCTCTTTCTCACCCCCCCGCCCCACAGCAGCTAAACAGATGACATTTCAGCTCTTAATACAACTTATTGGCAGCAGTTTCATTAGTAATTCTCTCCTGTATTTAGGCCATGTAACTATCCTGATTTTGCTGTGGTGCTTACACTTTTGGAGCTCTTCATATTAACAAAGCTGAGTGTCTTTCTAGGTCATATTGCCCGTCCTGAGATGTAAACATATGAGATCATCCTCATTTTTTTCCCCCATCTTATTATTATCTCACGCTGCTGCCCCTTTCATCTCTTTGATTCTTTTTTGTCCCACTTTTCGGGCTTTTTTTCCCTGTATTTTCACAGAGAACGTGTAGATACGGCAGTCTTATAAAAGCAGTTGTTCATAGCTTTTTCCCCACCTTAAAAAGCCAAAACAAAAGCTCTCACACCCCAGCCTTTTTTATCAATCAAAAGGATCCATTTTCAGTTTTAGTGAATTAAGGGTAATCGTGCTAGCATCTGAAAACTGTTATTTTAATACACTATTCCCGATGACCATAAATCGGATAAGTAGTTAGAAAATGAATGAAGTGATGATAAATAGGATGTAGTAGGATTCTCATTCTACCTGTGTAAGAAGTACAGAGTTACATTTTCAAGGACAAAAAGGATCTTGAGATAAGGAATTAATTTTTACAGGATTTTTCTCCTGATGCCCAACATTTAGATGCTATTATTAGATACCGCTGCAGTAATGTGATTACATTTAATAGGTTCAAATGGTGTACTTTTTCAGTGTTATAATTGCCCTTGGTGGGAGACGGATTGCAAAGTGTGGGTTGGTGTGACTTTTTCCAAGCCAAAGTTCATACAGTTTGAATTGATAGTAAGTAAGTAAGTAAAATTTATTTATATAGCACATTTCAGAGATAAAAATCACAAAGTGCTTTACAATAAGATCAGACATACAAGTTAAAATTAATTAAAAGCCCGTTTGTATAAAAATTGATAGAATCCTTCAAAACCTGACGGTCTTTTTATTGGGCAAATGTTAGTCTGCAAAATGACATAAAATATTCAGTTTATTTCATTTATTTATGTAACACTAAATCACAACAACAGTTGCCTCAAGGAACTTCCTTTTGTAAGGCGAAGACCCGACAATAATCCAGAGAAACCACAACAATTACACAACACCCAAGTACTTGGCCACAGTGGGAAGGAAAAACTCCCTTTTAGCAGGAAGAAACCTCCAGCTAAACCAGGCTATAAAATAAAATATAGGTGCAAATATTAATGCACACAGAAGACTAATGAGAATTTTTTTTGTGCTTTAATTATTTAACTCGCCAGGTGTCACTTGCACACAGTTTGTGGAGACAGCAGGTGATGTCAGGAAATGTGGAAATCCTTTTTTTAGTAACAGTTTTCTCTTAAACGTTACTGCACCTCACAGTTATGAACACTGGATTTTTTAACACAGACTTCTTACTGTATTTTAATACTTGTCAGCTCAGTTATAACATTTCATGCTGCTGTGCTTTATTAATAAAACATGTCAAGTGCTCAGCAGTAAATTAGACTGAAGGACTGAATCCTGCTGTACCCTTGAGTCCTTGTTTTTTCTGTTTTGTTTTTTTTTGTTTTTTTGGAGGCTTCAGAAACAGGTTGAAAGTGCAAACAAACACCTAAAAACAGTTCTATTACTTGACGTTTACTTGAAGTTTGTGCAAACGGCTGCATCAGGCATTGCCCAGAAATCCCCATTACTGTCCGTGTAAGCTGGTTTGTGGTGACTGAGACGAATGGCTTTCAGTTTAGTGTTTTACAAGCTCAGCAAGCCAGTGGCCAGTTTTGGCCTGCAGATGGAGGCTAATGCTGTCTTGGAGAAGATGACTCTTGTGTTAAAAATCTCTCACTGAATGCTTTTGATGGCTTTTTCACTGATTATTGCCAGAATATGTGTTCCACTTCTGTAAAGGCCAAAAATCATCCCATTCTGCTTCGACAAAGTGTATTCTCTTCTCACTGTGTTCATGGGCTTTCTTTGTGTTTGACAGGAGCTGTTGGGTTGCCGCTGCCTGGTGTGGAAGTTCGGATTGTTATGAATAACACAATTAATACAACCATTGTGGAAGGCACTCACAAAGAGACTCAGGTAATCCATAAGTTCAATATATATAGGTGTCATCGGGTAAAATCATGTGAAAACAAAGGTTTAGCATCAGACTCAATGCAATCCTGTTCCTGTTGCTAATGAAATGCACTTGAATAACTGATGACCAACAAGTGTGAGACCCCAAGGTCAGACTGTATGACGGATAAAGAAAAAGTACATCTCAGACTTTGCAGGCCTGACTTAGCATGTTAAATGTTAAAGTTCATGTCAGTAATATTAGGAAAAGACTGAACAAGTGTCGTTTGCTTGGAAGGATTGCCAGGAGAAAGCCACTTTTCTTTAAAAAGAACATGGCGGCACAGCTTATGTTACATCCAAGCAAATCATAAGACTTCTGGGAAAATGTCCTTTGGATAAACAAAATCAGTGTAGATTTTTAATGATAGTATATAAAACGAACACAGTATATCAGCACTAACATCTCATACCAGCTGTTAAGCACGGTGATGTATTTATCCTGATTTCTTCCTTTCTTTCCATGTATATGCATCAGGTACGACCTGGTCTGGAGGGGAAAGAGGGGGAGCTTCTGGTTCGAGGGCCATCTGTTTTTAAAGAGTACTTTAACAAACCTCAGGAGACCAGAGAGTCTTTCACTGATGATGGCTGGTTCAAGACAGGTACCAAACCCTCATCTTCCTCAGCAGTATGCATGCATAGCGAGTGCATTTCACTACCATTTATGGTTTGTACTGTCAGAGGGATTCGCAGGAGATGAAAGATGTCATAAGATTTTTTCATCAGTGTTGCACACTGTACTTTCGGGGCACGATGACATGATTTTAAACACTTAAAAACCAGGAGTCCAATGCTGGAAGCACACACATAGTCACACATTCAGACAGTGTGTGTGTGCGCGCGCACATTTTGGGGAACTATGAGGGAGTGATAAATGGACTATGTGTGTTTTTGGTGCTGCAGGGCATTTTTCCTCCTAAGTGGTTGTGACTGCTCCAGGTCCTGAAGAACCAACTATTGCTCTGTGTGTGTGTGTGTGTGTGTGTGTGTGTGTGTGTGTGTGTGTGTGTGTGTGTGTGTGTGTGGTAGCATAGAGGGAAGCTGTCATCAGAGGATGTTCCTCTCTCTAGCCCAGCACTTCTCCCCTTGTGCCCCCCCCAAACAGACCCATACTTTACCAGCGGGAGAGGCAGGCATTCGGTTAGTTTTGAGGGGGGGGCTGAGGAGTGCAGGAAGAAGGGCAGAAGCAATCAGAGCTTTGAATTGTCATGTAGACCACAGGAAATAAGAGGAAGAAGCAAAAGATTTGGGAAGGAGCTTGAAGTATTGAGCTTGGAGATGTGTTGGAGGGGGTTAGAAAGAGTCAGCTGCAAAGCTGACTCTGGGGACCAAGAAGGTAGCGATTGGGAGCTGCCGATGGTGGTGGAGGCGGGAGTGGGGAACAGCAAGGAAGGAGTGAGTGATGGAGAATGAAGCAGGGCAAGGCAGAGTGTGTTTAATTGGCTTTGCAGGCTGGAAGGACAGAGATCCAGAGCACAGCACGTTGCTGTCACACTCCATTACAGCCACTGGCCACATAATGAGAGCCTGTGCAATCAGCTCCCCACAGACCAGTCCCTCAAGCCACACACACACTGTGGACTACTCTGTTGGAAGCTATCAAACACCTTACCTGCCCTGCCTGTGTTCGCTGATGCCAGTTTCAACACACATGCAGCTTTTTTTCCTTCAAATTTCAAATTCAGATTTTCTTCAATTCTCCGGTGAATCGATGATTCAAACAGGAGCAACTGTGTCGGAAATTCACATTGTTTTGCTTTCTTTGTGTTTTAACTCAGCTCGAGAACAAGCTCAAGTACATTTAAAAAAAAAATCCAGATTTTACCAATCAGTGTGTTCACAGGTCTTAGGCAGTGGGGCAGGGCGATATGACCAAAATATTTATCACGATATGCATTTGAAAATTTGCAATAACGATATAACTGACGATATAATTGAGACTAGACAAAATACTTTAAAACTCCACAACTTTATTAATGCAAAAAAAAAAATCAACATATTATCACTTAAACGAGCAGCTGTTTTTTTATCTGCATTAAAGTTATATAAAAATTTAACAGCACAAATGCAAATTCCTTGCCGACAGTTTAACCAAAAGGCATTTCCAGTGGAAACTGGCTGACATATCCTCAGCATAACCATGTATAACATCCACAAAACTTAAAAAGAGGTTATACACACACAATACGGTAATATTATGTTGAAGCACAGTACGTATCACTCCGCCAGGCCCCTGCCTACAGTAGCCGTAATGCTCCGACAATCCATCAAGCGGTTTGGCTTCGTAGCTTAGCAAAGTCGTACTAAAACATTTGACAGATTTTCGAGCGCTGTGTACCACATAAAATCGTTTCGAGGTCAGTAAACACAACCAGAATTCATACATAAGGCACACGGGATTATCCTGTCGATTTTCAGAAAAATCAAAGGATTGATTTTAAGTGTGCTGTATTTTCCAGAAAACACGGTAATAACGACGGCCCGCTAGCATGTGCTACCAAAAATAGTGCTTTGTTGTGTATCTGACGGACGAAAGCTAAACCAGTTCCACACCACTGAAGTTGCAGCATTTTTACAAACCAATTCTGGTTCATCTGTTTCATTCAAAGATCCACTTCCGTCCTTCTCATTCTCCGTCACCGCCATGCTTTTTCCGCTCTGTGCGTATGAAAACAAAGGCACTGCGCATGTGCGTTTTACCCATATTCTATTGTGATATTTCATTTTCTTATCGTTGCCCAACATTATACCAGTATCACCATGAACGGTACGATATGACCCAGCCCTATTTGGCAGCCCTCCTGCATGCATGACAAATGCCTTTGAAGCATTTTGTGGTTCCAGAGCTGATTGAAATCTGCAATATTAAAACAAGTCAAGCAATTAAAACATTATAGATTTGTGTTTATTACTGGGAATTAAATACTGGTAGGTTTATTATGAGCTTTAGATTGAAACAGGCTTGCCATTTTATCCTGGTGCCTGCTCGACTTAGGTGAATATTTATTGAATCGATATGAATCCCCTCATCAGTCATTAAGAGATGTGCATTTAAAATGTTGGACAGTAACATTTTGTCTGTTTACATCGAAATGATTGTGAATGTTAGATCAGTTCGGTAATTATTCCCACTCACGCTTTTGCTTCTTTTCTGTTCTTCTCTTTAGTACTGAGGAATTTATTTAACACACCAAAGTGACATAAAAACATAAACTTACAATAGTGTTACTCTGTCTTGTGTTTATTTGTTTTCTTTTGGAACATTTGAAATATCAATGATAGAAAACTTTGAAATATGAATTTTTAGTAAGTAAAACTATATCCAAGATGTGGGTTTACTGAGCAGATGTGAGGTCATACACATGCAGGCAGGGAGAAGGGGGAAAGACAAAGTCCAAAAATTTGATGAAGACCTTGTGCACTTCATCTTCCTTCCCAGCTTCTTAACTCATTTCTCACACTGTCTCCTTTTTTACTCTTACACCTGCTCCACGTTTCACACAGCAACTTTTTTCTTTCACAGTTTCAATCTCACGCTCCATCTTTCGCTTGCTAACAGTGGGCTGATCTCTTGCGGCCTTCACATGGAGATTTCTGTATCTCACTTTTTCTATATGCTCTGGGATTTAACTGCCTGGTTGGGGGAAAAGGTGGCTGCTAACCGAAATTTCTTACCAAGATTTTCTTTATGGAGTTGGGCTCTAAAAACGTGAATGTACAAACTTTTAAAGTGGATTGCAAATGGCAAATTTTAGAAGATGCGATCTGAATAATCTGCTGCAGACAAAAAAGGAACAGAAAACCAGATGTTTTATTTCATCCTGTGAAATTTTCTTGCAAATGAAATGTGCACGCTACTTTTACACGTCCGGTGTGTGAAAGCCTTCATGCCTAAACTAATAAAAACTTGTAAAAAATTAGATATTTTTCAAACAAAAACGAAAATCCACTCTGGCAGCTAACTGAACCTGAACTGAAAATGTAATAAAAATGAATAAGAAAATAGAAAATGATAATAACTTTGCATTAGACGTCATGTAGGTCGAAAGGCAATAGAGTTAATGTACAGTGTTTTGTTGGGTTCATTATTTTTAGATTAAATGTATCTCATTAGGAAGACTGTTAGGAAAAATACGCACACCAGCCCTCAATATTCATAATGAAAAAATGCATTTTTTAGATTAGCTACAATTGCTTTGTGCAAGAGGAGAAAATGTCTTTAAAAAAATTCTGTTTGAACTTTGCAAAAACAATGCTAACAGGGGAGACTGACAAAAGCAAAGAGAGATGGGAAAAGAAATGTGAAATCTGAGAAGCAGAGAACGAGTGGGAGTTTAGATCAATAGGTTCTCAGCTGGCCAAAGGTGTCTTCTCCAGAGTTAACAGGTGCTGTGTAGCGTGATTGACAGCTCGATAGGGAAGCTGTCACCTAAGCGTTCTCTCTTTCCACTCATCTTCACAAACATCTCTGAGCACATTGATCCCTTCTCACTTTTTTTTAGCCCTCCTTTTGTGCTCTACAATACAGTCTGTCTGCTGTCCAGAGCTAAAAAGAATGCTCATCTTGACCCAGTAAGCCTGTAAGAGCGTTTGTTGTTCCATTTATTGTACACATATAGATACAGCAAGGCAATGGAAGCAGTGAGAAGAGAGACTGAAGGCGTTGCTTCAGATTTGCTCGTTAGTCGTTAGTTGATGCCAACAAACAAAACCCAGAACTCCTCCAAGAGTAATTTATGAATGCATAAATTAGTCAGAACTCATGGGAAGAAAGAGAAGCTTAAGCATTAGCTGTTTTTGAATTTTTTATTTCACTAATAAGAAGTTTGGCTGTGCTGCAGAGAGCAGTTGGGATAAAACGGAGCCTGGAATCTGACTATTAGCCCCAGAGAGGTTAAATTATTTAATTACATAACTGTGTGAAAGGTGTTTATTAGGGCAACTTTCATGAGCTCCCAGCAGCTTTTCAGAGATACAAAAACAGATTTTTGTATGAATCGTTTTAAACATTGTGACAGAAAACAAACACGCAAACTAGTCAGCTGCCATATCTAACCCAAGTAGTAAAATAAAAACATCAAATTTTTAAAAAAAACCTGTTGACTGAGCCCCTGGGCTGGATGAGATTTAGGTTTCTTCAGGCTCTGGATGCTGTGGGGCTGTCTTGGCTGACACACTGGAAAAGTGTGGCATGCCCACTCGGGGTTGGGAATGAGTTGATGCCTCAGTGGAAGAGCGTCATAGGGTCTTGTTGACAAGTGAGACATCCACGAAGCAAGAATTTAACTGACAGATTGGTGTGGCATCTGTAGTAACATGGGTGATGTACCAGCCTGTTGCGGTGATCTGGATACGAGCTCTGAGTAGTGACCAAAAGAACAAGACCGCAGATACAAACGGTGGAAAGGAATTTAATCTAAAAGGTGTCTGGGCTCTCCCTTATAGATTGGGTCAGGAACTTTGTCATGCGGGAGGGACTCAGTGTAGCGCCTCCACAAAAGGAAAGGAGACAATTAAGGTGTCTCAGGTATCTGACTAGGATGCTTTGTAGGTGAGGTATTTCAGGCATATCCTGCTGGGAAGAAATCCCGGGGCAGTCCCA